TACCTTTTTTTTCCCCCTGTAAATATACTTAAATGCTTTTACAGTGTGGGTTTTTTTGTGAGTTTTTTGCTTTCTTTTTTTTTTTAAACGATATTTGTTAGTGTTCTTTAAATCTGTCAAACCCAAAGAAAAGCTCTACCTCTGTCTGCTTTGAAATGGAAGTGAGATTTCAACTGAATCTAGAATTGGGTTTTACAGAATCTCTGCCAAATAAAGTTTTTCTAGTGTTTGTAACCCACCAACATTTCTCTTTATTTGGGCAGAAATCATGTATTTCAGATAATTAATTCCATAAAGGGCTGAGCAGCTTTTATACAAGTTGCTATACAAAATAATTGTCATGCTGTTTCTTCAGCTGCGTGGTACTACACCATTTTCCCTTTCTAAATAGCAGCCTCCCTAAAAGGGAAGGAAGGTGTTCTTTTGTAGTCATGTCCCTCTGGCCTCTCTCTCTTCCTCCAAACACAATTTTTTGCAGCATAAGAGCTGCAAAGTGGCACATTGTGCATTTCTGTCATTGCATGTTTACTTAAACTTTCTATGTAAGATGCTGGATTGAGGTCAGCAGCCCAGAGCAGGATCATGCACAGCTCAGATTGGCTGTACAAGCAGTTTCATCAGATAGGACCTATGAATGGATATCCAACCTCAGGAAAAAAAAAAAAACATTGCAGCCCGTGCTGGAGGCTCCAGCTGATGTTCTATAAAAGCAGGCTGTAATTCAGAGTGACATTTATACTTGTGCTGCCTCAGCTCATGCTTGTGTTCCTTGACAAAGCACTGCTTCTCATTCTCAGGGCATTATGCACACAAATTTTGTCCTAAGTGGCTTGTAACTTGAGAATTATTTTTTCCCTTTTACTCAGAAAATAGTAAAAACAATACCAAGCTCAGAAATCAATCAGATTTTGTGGCCATATGTAGACATGTGATTGTGTCACTGAATTTTGTCAGAGACAAAAATTATCTGGATATGTCACTGTGTGTTGGGGAAGGTGGAGCCTGGATTTTGAGGGAAGAAGAAGACTGGTTTCCAAGGTGATGGAGAAAATCTACAGCAAATTCAATCTTAGTGTCTTAACAAAATTATTGCATGTGTGTATCTCCAAACAAAACAGAATCTGACCCATAAAATGATCAATAGAAAAATAAAATGATAAGGAAATTGATTTATTTAAAAATAAGTGAAGCTAAGGTCCTGGAGGAAAAACAAAAAGCAAACTTTTGAGCCAAGAGATGACTTAAAAGTGTAACGTACACGTCAAGTTGTGTGAAAACTCCCACCACTTTACAATGTATGTTCCTGGAAGACACAATGTAGACCTTTACTTAGATAATTTCAATGAATAGCATGTTGATCATGCACTGTAATCGGCAAATCAAAGTGTGAGACAGAATGATTCAAAACACTAAAGGATTTGCTAAAAGAAAGTATAATGTCCACATTTCAGAAAATGTCTCATCTGTTCCTGGTCTTCTGTCCTTCACTCTTGCTTTTCAGAGTGAAAAATAACAAGCCTGAGGAATGCAGTAGATAGATTAGTGGAATTACATATGAGTATTTCCTCATAGAACACAGATCTCTCTATCATTGTGGATTTCTTGCAAATGTGTGTTTTTCACCTTGGACTACTCATCCACCCATCTTGGCCCTGGTCAGATGGTGCTGCATTGGTGGGAAGCCACACAGACCCTTCAGAAAATGTGGTGAGGACAAAAACTGTCTGGATCCTCATGTTTCAGGCAAGAAGAGAATGTTCCTGTTTGCATTTGTAACATTTTCCTGCGTGTTTCTTCAAAGCTAAGGATAGAAACAACCCCTCAAGTAGCTGTATGAAATGAGAATGTTAATAATGTTGCTGTTGAAAAAAAGCAAGTCAAAGGAGAGTTGAGGGAAGAGAGAAGTTGCTTTTTGTAAAATCTGAAAAAGGCTTGGGTTTTGTTAGTTTAAGCAGATAATAATAATTTTATCAATTTACTTGTTGAAGTAAGTGCCGGGCATCTACTCACCTTTCTCAGCTGCTTCCAGTGAACATGAGGTTGCAGTGTTGGTATTCACATGATAAGGATTCTTTTTTTTTTTCCATTGGAGACAAATTAGAAGCAAATCAAAGGTATTTATGATCTCATAAATCTCATAAAATGTTCTTAAGTCCACTGTAGAAAGGGATGAAGAATCTGAAATCATATCCCCTTTTTGTGTGCCACTTCATGAAACAGTTTTGGCCTGGCTTCAGGCCCACCTGTCCTACTTCCATCCCTATGTGAGTGTGATTCTATGAGCATGCCATAAAGCAGTGCTGAGCTATATACTTGACCACTTATAAATCCCTCCTACAACATCTCCTGGCTACTATTCTAGCAGGAACAGGAAAAGATCAAAAGAGAAGGGAACTGGGCAGTGAAAGTGCCTTGCATTATAAGCACACTCTGGACCAGAGACCAGCTTTGTCTGACATGGACATACTGGAGTCAGTCCACTGACATGATTCAGGAATTGAAGATCTGACACACCAGGAGCTGGGAAATTTAGCCTTGAGAAGAGGTTTCAGAGTGGAATTGATATGTGTAAATGTGTATCAACATGTATAAATATCAGTGGGAAGGGAGTAAAAAAGGCCAGCCAGACTCTTCTCAGTGGGACCTGGTGAAAGGAGAAGAGGGAACAGGTGCAAAGTGAGATAATTAAGTTACATTTAGACATGAGAAAAAAGTCCATTTTAACTATGCACATGTTAAACACTACAACAGGTTCCCCAGGGAGGTTTGTGGACTCTCTGTCTTTGGAGATGTTCAAAACCCTATTTGGCACAGCCCCGAGCAACTTGCTTTAGTTGAACCTGTTCTGAATGGGGAGACTGGACCTCCAGAAGTCCATTCCAGCTGAAACAATTATCCTGTGAATGTGAGACCATCCTTACAACCCTAATCAACTCTAATTTAACCTATTTTGTAATGTGCAGGAGCACAGTACTTCATAAATTTCTGAATTATGACCCTGCTACAGGTAGCTTGACTCATATGAAACATTTCCTTGTGTCTCAGAGGTTTAAGCACATGATGAGAGATAAAGATGTAGGAGTGCCTCAGAATCTGCCCCTGAGCCCACCTTCAGTGTATTCCTCCTTTGCCAGTGTTCTGTGTGACCTGGTTGGGTGTGAGGGAGCTTCACTGCTGGGTCCAGCAGGTATCTGCAGGTCTGGGCAGGGCATGGGTGCTGGTCCTCACTGAGGTTTGTATGTGTCCCTAGATTACATCTCTTAGCAATCTGCTTTCCATGGAGTCCTGCTACTCTAAACCACGAAATGAGTACTAAGAAATGCTCTAAATCTTCTTGAGCAGCTGCTGGGGCAACATAATAGGAGGAAAAATATAGAGTTTCTTTGTTGCTTTCAAAGAAGTCTCGTTAAAGAGGTAAAGGCCTCTTTCCCTTGATGTTTTCCCCTGAGTTTCCATAGCCTTTCAGGAAGGGCAGTATCTGCCCATATGGCACAGGTAAAACCTTGCTCCTTGTACTGAAGCTCTCCCCTGGCTCAGATGCCTGTCCTGCATAAGCTCGAGCCTGTTGTCTTTTGTGACATTTTGCCCATGTCTGAGCAGGAAGAAAGCAAACCCATAAGCCTTGGAGAGCCCTTAGCAGGCAGTGAGAGTGAGGCAGGCTTTCAGCAGGGTGTCAGATGCTTTTCAGGGCAGAGACAGTCCCTGGAATGCAGCAGAGCTCTCAGGCCTTGGGCAAGTTCAGACACATGTTGATGCATAATACAAGATGGAGCCTATCAGTTGATATCAGACTCTTCCAGTCAGTCACAGGGTTGGGTAAACAGGTATGCCATGCAAAATAGGAGGCAATGTAACTATCAAATCAGAGGGATATGGAAAGATTTCTTGTCATTCCTGGTTGACTGTTCCATTGTGAACTCATTCTAGGGGTTATGGGTGTTGAGTAGGGGCAGGCATCACAATTAACACTGTGGCATTATTTTGGAAAAAGGGAGTGAGGGTAAAGTGGAGGGGAAAAATAAAAGACGCCATCTACAGAAGCCACAATAATGTAACACATACACTGTCTAATAGGAATAACTTCAGCTTCTTCTGCATTTGTTCTGTTTGTGGCCTGGGTCATTCCTGAGCAGTTCAAAGCACAGGACTGGAATCTAGGAGGTCCAGATTTTTGTCGTACATTCCCAGTTGCTAATTCATTGTACGTCCTGAAAAGTTAAATATTTTTAACATGTAACCCAAAGGTGAAGTGAAATAGGAGCAACATTTGCATGTAGAAGAAGTGTATTGCACTGACATAGAACTCTACTGTTTCCCTCCCACCTGCCCACAACACATGGTGCCAGGAATTTGGTGCCCAAGGCAGGCTTCGGACGAACCAGGCTCTTCTCCCTGGGCAGCAGGAATCCTTCCTCATGGCAAATCTCTTGTGACCAGGGGCAAAGGGCGCTGCAGGCTTGCTGGAGGAACAGACCAAGGCCGTCCCGAAAGCGAGGAGTTACCGTGCCTGGCAATACACTCAGCCTTGGAGGAAACCCAAGGACACCGCAGTCTGCGATGGGATAGCTCCAAGGGGGCTGATCTTTCTCCTGGAGGACAGGGTGACGGTGTAAGGGCAGGCGAGGAGCATGGCAGGGTGGATGGGAGCTGTAGAGCCCTGGCAGAGCTGCGGGGCTCTGGGGGTGGGCACCGGGAGCAAGGACGGGGGCGATGGGGAAAGCGGCGGCAGGAGATGTGAAGGGGCGTGGGTACGCCCGGAGAGGAAGAGGAGACAGAGCTACGGGGAGAAGCTCAAGCATCAAATCAGGCCTCGGGGGGTGAGAGTAGCGGGTCCCCCGCACATCCCCACCCGGTACGGCTGCAGCAGCCCCGGCTCTGGGGTGGATCGGGGGCCGGAGTCACCGCGGCCGTGAGAGCAGCCGCTTCCCGGGCAGGGAAGCCTCACCCCGGGGGCGGTGGCTCCGGCGGGGGAGGGACGGGGAGCGGGGCGGTGCCGGGCACAGGAAGCGGAAAGCGGCGGCAGCAGCGACGGCGGCCGCCGCCGGGGAAGGTGGCGGGGGAGCGGCGCGGCGGCGGAGAGTCGGGTCGGTGCCGGCAGCGGCATGGGACGGCCGCGGCAGGGAGGTGAGTCCGTCCGTCTGTCCGTCCATCCGTCTGTCTGTCCGTGCGGGGACGGGCCCGATGCCGCGGGCAATGCCGCTGCCCCCACCACGCCCTCCGGCCGCCGGGATCCCGGTGCCGGGGCGGCGGGAGCAGCGGTGTGGCAGCCTCCCGGTTCCCGTGCGTGGCCGCAGGGCCGGTGGCCGCCGGGCGGGGCGGTCAGAGCTCCGCTGGTGCCGCTGCGGGGCCAGCCCGGCGCGTCCCGCTCCCCTGCCCGGCGCTGCTCCCCGTGCCTGGGCGGAGGTGCAAGGCTGGCGAGGGCCTCCCCGCTGCCGGCCGTGAGTCCGCGATCTCGGCATCCCGGCATGAGCCCCTCGGGGCCGTGAGGGCCGCAGCCCCGCAGYKCTCTGGCCGCCCAGCCSAGCCKTGCCTKGRAARGAACCCGTGCSCTGTTGGTGCGAGAGGCTCCGCGCTGCTGTGAATGCTCTGCCGGCCGTGCTTTGCCTGCCCACGCCGTGCCAAACAAACTGCTCTGTGTCTGGGCTCATCCCGCTGGGCAGCACGGGAGGGGGAGCAGAAGTGACGGGAAGGAGAGCTGCTGCGAAACAACGTGAGGGATTTGGGATTTTTATTCAGTAGACTGCCGAGGTGGTGAACTGTCTTATGCCACGGGCTAACTCTTTGATTTGCAGAGTCTGTGAAAGCATAACTTGATGGCAGGGTTTTCAATCTGGAGAGGCAGGCTTGGCGATTCTGTGACTGAAGCACTGGGATTTTTTTTGGCCCCGGGTTCATCAGTAATGAGCTGATTTTTGCGTTCTTCGCCCACAAAATTTTTGCAGCTATAAAGAGTTAAGAAATCAAGTCACGCTGTCTGGAAGTGCAAATTAGGATGTTGTGGAGTATATTCTGTGATATCATTGACTGTGAGCTCATCCTGACTTCAAGGAGGAGAGTTGTGGAAAAAAGAGCAGTGCTTTGCTACCTTTGAAAAGCTTCATTTAGACCATGCTTGACTCTTTTCCCCCACTGGGGTGTGGCTGTTGGGCTGGCCACAGCTACAAGTCCAATGTTGGCTCTGTGATAACTTCAGTTGTTAATTTTGAAAAATGAATGTGAATAGACTCTTGTAGAAAGCCTCCTTTAAAAATGTTGCTTATAGCTGAAATTTTGGAACAATCCCAGACTGTAGTGGAACCAGCCAGGCAGATAAATACCTCACTACTCACAGTCACTGACCAACAGCTCCCCGTGGTTGCTTCTGGCCTTTTGGTTTTGGTTGGTGGTGGCAGTTGTTCCTGGTGGTTGTTGTCTTGTGGATATGTGCACCCAGAGAGGGCTTACTGTGATTGGGAGACTGGCATACAGTACTAGGAAAACATTACCAAATGACTGCAGTTTTCCTAGAAAAACTGCACCTTGTGTTGTTTTAATAGCCTGCCTTTCTTACACGCCTCTTCTTGAACCAAGGCAAAGGATGGTATCAGAAAAACAGCTTTGCAATAGGGCTTGTTGTGCTGTGTGGGGTCTGGAGAGGCAGACCTGAATAGTTCATGAGATCATGAGATGTCCAGTTCTGCTGGTGGGAAACAGTGAGGTCATGCTTCTCCATTTCTGGTACCACCACTCCAAAGAAGAAAGTTGTCACATGGGTTCACTGCCTTAGAACTTCTCTTCATTTCTCATTAGCCTGTACTTCAGAATTTTCTGGCTTGGATCAAATTAAAAATCAATGGTTATATCCTCAGGGGTCAACACCTTTGCCATCTCTTCTTGCAAGGGCAGAATGGCATTGGACTTGTACAGATTTGAGCAGGAGGGAGATAGAGAGACTCCGTACTGTGGAGTCCCACTGTGCTGTGTACTGAGGATTTGTTCAGGATTTGTAGATTTCTTTTTCATTCTAAATTTAAGTGGAAAATGCTGGCAGACATGCAGCATCCTAAAGGAGAAGGTGCTCTTTCAATAGAGAAACCTTTTGCAGTATCTAAGTGTTACAGCTAAAAGGAAATACTGAAAGTGAGGTACAGGTGCTGTCTGCTGGGATAGGCAGAGTCAGAAGTGTCTTTTGAGATTCTTTTCACTGTTGTTTCAGTATGGCTTTAAATGTCAGTAGAGAAAACTGTTCCTGTGCCTGGTCCAAGGTGCTTTGGTGTCATGAGGGTGAGGCCACAATGCCTTGTGGGGTTAAGCAGTGCACTGGAAGGTCTGGCAGCAGAGGAGAGGCGGATGAGTGAGGAAGCACAAACTTTCACCAGTCAGACTGGATGGCACTGAGGTGCAATTTGCATCATCATCGTCTTGAATGCTTCTGCACAACTTGTTTCAGCAACTTGGACAGCACAGATGCGGCTCGTGGAGTGGGCAAAGGACATTCTTCAGGGGAGTGCTTCATGGATGAGCCCCTCATAGAGAGTTTCCAATTTCCAGCTGTGTAACAGGGGGGCAAGAGGCTGGGGATTACTTCTTGGAAACACTGCCTGGGTATTTCTCTTGTCAATTGAAATGCCATTGCTGTGTTTTCAGACCTGTGTTATTGCATGTTTTGATTAAACAGGGGATTGCTTCAGTAAACCAAGTGGCTTTTCATTCTGAAATATCCACRTCATGGACTTATGGTTKTCAGCTTTGGGGCTRGAAATTSCAGGGGATCTATGAAATCTTTCTAAAGAGTCTCTGAGAAGCAAAAGAAAAGAGAACCAATTGCTAGAGGGCTTGAATTTGCTGACTAGTAAACATTTTTTTTTTTTTTAGAATGAGTGGCTTGCAAATCAAGAGTCACCACCATAGAGTAAAAGCCGTGGTTTAGTTATATATTTATATATATATATGTAAGACCAAAATTTACCTTATTTAATTACATACAAAAATAAATAAAAATATTTTGGAAGAACCTTGTTTCCCAAAGCTCTCGTTGGCCATTAAAACTGAAAGTCTTGGCTCTGCGAGTCCATTAGCATGGGTGAACTTCTGTACTTACAGATCAAGTTGCTGGATTGGGGCCTGCTCAGGAAATTCAAAAGCAAGAGGTTCCTGTGGCATTGCTCATAGGTCTTACTATGTCTGCAGTTGAACATAGCRAGTTACACAACTTGTAGTGAATAATGGGAATGTGCTGCAGCAATACTGTGCAGCCAAGCCAGTGCCGGAGTTGGAAAGGCTTCCTCACTGCTCAGCCATCTTTTAATTGTTTTTTACTTTTGAACCCTCAGCGTTTGAGGTTCAGTGTGTTTAATTTGTGAAGGAAAAGAAGATTTCTCAGTGCGATAGCTCGTGGGCATCCATTACCCCGTAGACAGCTGGTGCTGTTTAACAAGTGAGGCTGACAGTGGTTGGAGATGAATTGTGCATCCTCATGGACACTTGTGGCTGCTTGTGCTCCAGATGGCACTTCCAAATACATTCAACTTCCTTAGCTGACTGGTAAATCAACTCTTAATTGATTGCAAGTTTTAAACGGGGTAAGATTGAAACTGTACAAAGATTTCAAAGATGAGCCGCTCTGGAGTTATTTGCCTCAGCTTCACAGGGGAAAATCCATCGGGAAGGCATGGGATGTAAAAGAGAGCTGTTGTTTGCGTTTTGCTTCTTTGATTTAGAGATGTAACTTGCTCTTTTAAATTTCTCTTGGGCTGGGAGCCAAACTGCGCTCCCTTGAAGACGATCACAAAGCAAACTTCRTTGGAAATGGGATTGGGCTTCCAGCGTGGAAAATAGCAATTCAAAAGAACTCTTTTTGAGATTTATGAGCATATGAAAAGAGGAAGTTACAATGAGTTGTGTAGCTGCGTAGAAACTGTAATTAGTGATCTCTGTGGYATTCAGGGGTAACTACATTTCTTGACTGTCGTGCAGGATGCAGCAGTCCTCCTTGCCAGGACAGGGTTCCAAAATTTACTTTGGGGTGCCCTTACCATTGTTTTCCATCTAGTTCTTGGCTTCTTTCTGTCATCARTGAGTAAGGGAAAGGCAAAGTGAGAGTGCTGGCCCTGCTGGGAGCAAAGTTCTGAGTGTACAGTTTATACTGTGGAGCAGAGGAGGCATTCCCATCTCCCCTCTAGCTGTTCGCTGCTATTCACCGTGSTGTTGGTTTTGATGTTTTGGGCTGTGCTGTGAACTAGGTCACGGAAAGGATMCAAGACAAAAGCGTGGCAGGGGGGGAGAGAAGGGATTTTTTGTTTTGTTTTCCAGCAGTGCTGTTTGCTTGCTGAGAATTGTGTTGACACAACCGAGAGTGGTGAACCGTGCTGCGGAGGTGGGAGCTACTTACACCAGCTTTCTTGTCAACTGCTGAAATACGGTGCAACTGTACCCTCAGGCCAAAAGAGCTTTGTTTCACTCAGGGCYAGAAGCTCTGCAAACAGACCATGCCTTCAGCAGAGCCCTTCGAGATGTAATGATCTTTTGTGAAGCCATTTCAATTGGGTGCATTTGACTCTGAATTCATGCTGCTTTTGTGAAGCRTGAGGCCCCAAATGATGGGGCTGCTGCTTTGAGCAGAACAATTGTCATTGCCCAGAAGGGTAGGGTAGGAATCATCATTAACAGTGATTTAGCAGTGGAGGTGTGTAAGTATTGTGCTTGGTTKGGATATGGTGTTGTGCTCTGGTGGTGGGCACTGTTGGGGTGGTGGCTAATCCAGGGTTGACTTCTGTCTGTGCCACTGAAAGAKCTGAAACCCAGAGATGTAGTTTAGCATGTTAGTTGTCTTTTGGTCCCGTCCTTACCTCTTCCATAGTAGTTTCAGAAGCTTTTCTGGGGTAAGGCTGGTCTGCCTTCCAGCTGTAAAATGGACCAGGACGTGGGTAACCTGCTTGGCTTGGCTGTGAGGGGTGTGTGTTTGGACTTTGCTCCTCCCTCCCTCCTTGACTGGCAGAGATGTCTTGCTAGAAATCCAGGCTACCCTTTGTTGGGCCAGTCTAGGAAGCCTTCCTGAAAATCAGCCTTGGTAAGGCATCAGGCAAAGCCAGAGGTCTTCTGCTTTTTCCAGCTGAGTTTAGGCAGGTGAATTTTGTTCCTGACAGCCCTTTAAGTGCCTTGACTGGAAGATCTGTTTAACCACTGGTGTGCTCTGCAGTTGGGACAAGGAGGAGGTGCCCAATTTCATCACAGAATTATTTAGGTTGGAAAAAAACCTCTCTAAGATGAGTGCTTTTGATGGTGATCCAGGATACTTGATGTTTTTTTGGGGGCCGCCTTGTTGACTTTTCACCGAGCTGTGTCAAAACCGTTGCTCTTACACAGAAAAGGAAAGTTGGCGTGATCCAGCCTGCCCTGAYGTTCCTGTGTTGGGCTTTTCATGASTTTGCCTTCTCTGCCTGGTGCCCAGTGCTGCCTTGTTTCCCTCACCATCAAATGGGCACTGCTTGTTCCTGATTCCTGCCCAGGCAGCTGTGCATTTCCATAGCAGCCTCTACCTGCAGAAATGTTCTCAGGTGCCMCCAAAGAAGTGTGATCCTGTGCTGGTGGGGGTGGGAGCTCTATTCCTAGTCCCTCTCTCAGCTCTGTTTTTTTTTACTTGGGATTTGGGGGGAAATTCTTTAATGTGGTTAGAGAAAAAGGGYGAGAGTTTATACTTTCCTAGAGGGATACGAAAAAATACATAATCCTTACTGGTGCATGCCAGCAGCATTCCTTGCTTTTCCTGTTTCTATAATGCASTGATAGGTGTCTGTGAAGGTAGTGGTTGTTCTCAAAGTAACACCACGAACGGTGGTTTAAGACTATACTACCCTTCACCTTTTCTTCAGCTGAGGGTTCTTTCTGCTCTGTGGTGCCTAATGACTGCAAAACCCTGTGTAGTCATCTCCTCATAGTGCTTTTTGAGCATAGGGAGCCTCACCCCCATTTGTTAGAGGAAGACAAACACAGAGAAAGGATTTTTCTGTGGTTGCCTAGCAGGACAGTAGAGGTAAAAATCAGCTTTAATGAGTCACAGCCTATTGCTGGAGCCATAAGCTACAGCCTGTGTGCAAATCTAGGGAGTTAACGAGWGTTAACATCATGTCCTAGGCTGGGGGATTTTTATTCTTGTTACAGTAATGATGCCATTTTCCAAACTGTGCTGTGCATTGGCTTTATGTTTTACTTYGTTTAAATCCATCCTCATTGCTTTCCTTCTGAAACTGGGCCTTACAATCTCATCTTTATTTGCTCTTTCTGTGCTCTCTGATGCCTTAAAGTTTTCTCGAGGCACARTATGCCCTTAGAGTTTGGGAATCCTGTACACAAAAGGTCCCCACCAAGAGCCCTGGAAAGCCCAAGTGTTGTGCAAATACCTGCAGCTCTGGATGCAGTGGGGATGYTTCTTTATTTCATTGCAGATTGCACAGCCAGCCAAGGAACCCTGTGGGGAAGAGGCTTCATTCTTTGGCACAGCTTKCATGTGGTAGAGTTCTCTGCTCTGTTACAAGCTTTTCTGCAGGCATTAGTTGAGGAATCTCATGGCTGGCTAGAATAGTTGGCCAAAGCAGTTATTTCTGTTGTTGTCCCTCTGTTTTTGGGGAAGGAGAGGGCTGAAAGCAGTGGTTGCCTGTTTTTCTTACTGAGAGCTTTGAAAACTGCTGTGAGCAGAAAATCTTGGAGGGATCTAATTTAATTTTAAAGTGCCTCTTCTGCCCTTTGCAGATTTGACTTAAGTTACTGTTCCAAATGGAAGTACACTGTGAGAAGTGTTGGCCCACATAAGCTAGGTGTGATCTATAATCAACTCTCCCCAGTGTTATTAGTATGTGTATATATAGAGATGATTTTTAATAAATTGAATTCTTTGAGGCCCAAATTAGCTTCTGGAGGCAAAGGTGACAAAGAGAGGGAGGTGTTCACAGTGCCATTGATTGTATAGTAACTAATGCCTGTGTAATGGGCACACCTTGCACTTGTGAAAACAAAGCAGGTTCAGGCATGGTGGGCTGATTCTCTCCAGCACTTCTGCTAGGAAAGTTGTCCTCACCTCCACCCCTTCCCCCTCTAAATAGGCTACAGTGGTGCTGTTTTGAATCTAGAATTATTTGGGCTGTGTGTTACACAGGACAAGAGATGTGGAGTGGAAGCCGAGCCTGCTCCTTTTTCTGTGGRTGAATTTTGGTATCTCAGGCTGCTGTGCCTTCTCCAAGTCACTGTCTTTACCAGGTGACATAAAATGTCTTTTCCAGATTTTTAGGTTAATGGGCTTGACTCTGCTAAACAGATGCATTTAAAGCACTTCAAATGCATATATTTCATTAGACCAGAAAGAGAGRTATTGACTGGGCAGGCTTGATGAGTGGTGATGTGTGGCCAGAGAATTCCTGGMGTAGGAATGATGTCTTGCTTTGCTGAGAATGCACTTCCATGCCTGTTTCTCCTTTCTTAGGTCGATTGTGAGAAGCCAAGCACCTTCCCTCCCCTCCCCTCTGATCAGATTCGTTTTAAGTGGAGCTCACGCAGTTTTTGAGGACCAGATCTCACCGATGACTGGGAAGCAAAGAGTACCCAGGAAAGCACTTTCACCACGGACTCCACCTCAGGAGCACCAGGAACTCATCTTCTAAATAAAATCTGTGCCCCTTCCGTGCAGACTGGATGTCTACTGCAATGGATACAGAATCAACATATTCGGGATACTCCCACTACTCAGGTCACTCCAAAAAAGCTCACAGACAAGGGTAAGGAAATATTTATTTTTAATTACTTACTGCTCCAAGTTAGGACATGTCCTATGGGAAAAAAATTGTAAGCTAGGATAAAATCAGTGGGCCCACATCTCTGGAGGGGATACATATGGAGAATCCTCATGGGGGACACACTGAGACTTGAAGCTGCTAATTCAGTGATATTCAACCTGTTGGATGCATGCTGGGGTTATGTGTGGCCAAAAAGATTGAGATAGTGCCAGCAGAAAGAAAAGATCACCTATCTCCCTTCTGAAAGGGCGAGAGATGAGTACAGGGGGCTGAGTACAGTATCGAAGTGTTAGACTTCCTAAACTGATAATTGCTAGTTGTCTTCTGATGCCATTTCTTTATTCTGTAATAATAAAGCTTCCTGCCTCTCCCCACCCTGCTCCAGGCTACTCTGTTAATGGTGTCATGGTTTTTTTTTTAAATAGAATTTGAGTGGTACTTGAGATTCAGCAACAAGTCTTTTATAAGCATTGATTGGATTAGAAGTCAGGCTTTTCTGAACTTGAATAGCAAGTTCTCTCTGTTATGGTAGTTCAACAGCCTGAAAACCCATCTGCTCTGAAACTTCTGATTATTTGGAAACATTTTCTGGGTTKTTTTTTTTTTTCTGCATCATCCTTGGTTTGACATGTAAAATGCATACCACTTAGTGATTGCAACTTATTATTGAGCTGGTCCCAAATAATTTTGCAATTCGGAAGCAATTATCCTGTGTGGTTGGAAAAAGAATTCTTCCATGAAGTCTCTTTGCTCACAGTCCAGTTATTGAGTAAAAMATCTCTTGTTTGCCTTTTTTCCCTTCTTTAGCATCCAACCCCCAATACGGATTGCCCTTTTAAACTTAGAATGCTGTGTGGAAAGATGCCTTCAGAGTTCCAAAAACAACTTAAAAAATCCCGGAGCCCTTAAACTGGAAAAAACTGTCATCCCATGGAACCTTTGGGCTTTGGCAATTCCAAGAGAGAGGCAGAACTGGTATACTCATGAAGTTTAAGCAGTCCCTGAGCACAATGAAGGTTTCCAGTGCAAAGGCTGCTTTTCTGTCTGTGTGGGAAAGGAGATGAAAACATTGGTGAGCAGATTGGTAGRGCTTAATTCATCTTGAGACTTCCTCAGATGAGAAGCTGTGAGGTCTGCAAGGGTACCCTGGAAATAAAGGCTGGCCTTGTACCCTGATGTTCTTGCTTTCTTTGTAAGAGGTTAACTGGAGGTTATTAACCAGTGGAAATAAACTTCACCAATTGTCCTGCACTGTTAAGGTCAGAGATGACAAAGCTCTGCTTTGCAGGAACTAAAGCTGTATTGATTAATTCCTTGTATTAACTGTGCATGTCCCTGGGARACACTTTATTGTAGGTGGAGAGCTGTGTAGATCCCAAATGGAATTGCCAGTTGTTTGGATAATGCAGGCTTCCCTTCCAGCACTGATGGAAGCTGTTTTAAGAGAACATGAGGTGATGGGCATGGATCCCTGTCTTCCACTGCTGTGTCACTGCAGGGGTGGTCTGTCCCACCCTCCAGGCTGTTGGCTTCTCTGGGCAAGGTCCCTTTTTACCTCCTCCAAAGTTTGCTTTGTCACAGGCTGAGTCTGTGTTGATCAAGAGCTGGACAAGCTTGACTGATCCAATGCTTGGGGCACCTGCTGCAGGTAGAGGTGCAGCACATTTCAGGCCCTGCTCTGGAAGGTAACCAGTAACATTGTTCTCCTCCTCCTCTGTTTGAAAAAAGGAGCCGGGACAGACACAAATCTCCCCGAAGCAAAGATGGCAGTCGGTCTGAGAAATCCGTCACTATCCAGACACCTCCTGCAGAGCCACTGCTCGGGAATGACTCCTCTCGGGCAGAGGAGGGCCAGGTAAGGATGGTGTGGAAACCAACATGGAGTGTGGAATTTACTGGTGCATGAGGAGGAAAGCAGAATTGCTTGTGTCCTGTTCAGTAAGAACCATGGCTTAGTTATCCTTTTTTAATGCATACAGCCAACATCTCAGTCTCTTTATGGTTCTGAGAGCGTTATTTCTGACAGCACCAGTGCTGATGTGGCAACTCTTTGGGCATTGTCTTGGCTCTGTTTCTTGAATGTCATCTATCAAGCTCTATAGAAACATCTGTTTCCCTCATCTCACTGTACRTTATTCAGGTCAACCCTTTCACCTGTATGTGTGTTTCAGTTTTTATGCAGGATTTGCTCCAGGTAATTGTGTGAAGTACATTAGAGCCAGGATTCYAATAGGGAAAGGAGTCAAGAAATTAAAAATTCGTGTGGGATAGACTGAACTCAGAGAAAGCTAGTACAGTAACAATGGGTTAGGTAAAAGCTAGAATAGTGCTGCATTTAAATTGTASCTAGGATGGATCCAGTGCTCTCTCTGCTCTAGCAGCTGATGAGAAGATGCATAATCATTTTTAAAGAATGGCTGATGCTGCAACACGTGGAATTCAGGATGTTTCAGTACCTTCTGGGCTGGATTTGGGGTTTGTTTATACTTAGCTGTAGGGCCCCACTTCTGCCTTTAAAAAAAAAATAAATAAATCAGTGTCCTGTCACCAGCCAAACTGTATATGGTGGTACTTGTAACAGTATTCGTGTAGCTGCTGGTGTGCTCATTTCATGTCCTGTAATTTGGTATTTTGTAATCAGATGCTTGCTTTCATCAGCCCCAGCTATTATTTCAAATAGTTCTAAAAGCACTGGTGAATTCTTAAATCTTTGTTTTCATGCAGACTTCATAAATCAAAGCCAAAGCTAAATAAGTTGATGTGTGAGCCTTTTCTCCTGGGGRGTTAGGTCCAACAACCATGTACCACTAGAGATTTAGCCTCATATTTCCTCTYRTGTGAGGAAAGGCTGAGAGATATGGAGTTGTTCAGCCTGGAGAACAGAAGGCTCTGAGGTGACCTTATTTTGTGGCCTTTCAGTATCTGAAAGGAGCCTAAAACAGAGCCAGAGAGGGACGTTTTACAAAGGCATGTAATGATACGACAGAGGGGAATGGCTTCAACCTGAAAGAAGGTAGGTGTAGATTGGATATTTGGAAGAAATTATTTGCTGTGAGGGTGGTGAGGCAGTGGCACCAGGTTGCCCAAGGAAGTTGTGRATGCAACATCCCTGGAAATGTTCAAGGCCAGGTTGGATGGGACTTTGAGCAATCTGGTCTGGTGGAAGGTGTCCCTGCCCATGGCAGGGAGGTTGGAACTGGATGATATTTCAAGTCTCTTCCAGCCCAAAGCATTCTCTGAGTCTGTGGTTTCCATACAATTGCCCATTTTTTTGAATTAGGCCACAGTCCACTTTTCAGAGTGGAAAGAGTTGTGAGGGGTAGACTGTGACTAGGCTTGACTGTTGTCTTGTGGGATGTAGCCTGAAGCTGCTCTCATGTTTCCATCCCTTCCCTTTTCTGCACAATTTTTCAGGTCATCAAATGGAGGAAACTATGCAGAACTATTTAATRCATAAGCATAAAATAGTTGAAATGCTTAGATTGCTTTACTGGGGACACTGTTAAAGAGGGAAATGTGGTAGGAATACTCTGCCTTTCAGGACATACTACAATGCAGATATCTCTTCTGGGGCCTTTGCTTTGGTGAGAAGTGACTCAAAAAAAAAAAAAGCCCTCATATTAATTCAAGATGCTGACTGTTTGTGGCTTGTCTGTCTCAAAACCCTACTGCTCTAGGCATGGGAGGTATTCATGTCTTGGAGTGCAYTAGACATTAAATTCCTGGAGTTGAGAGTTGTTCAAAGTAGTTGTGCTGCCTTAGTCTACTCCTTTCCCAAAGACTCTTTCCTCTAGCTYTTAAAAAGAAGTGAATAAAGGTTTAAAATTACGCCTGTCTCTAAAATAGATTGTTTCAGTCAGCATGTGCAGTTGGAGAAATCTGAGGRAAGTTGAAAATCCTATTAATGACACAGGCTGCAAGAAGATATTCTGTGGAAGAAAAGCAAAAGTGTGGTTCTGAATGAGCATTGCAGTTAACAAAGGTGCCAGGCAGCAGAGCACATGCACTGCCACTCTTTGGTGTGCATTTGTGGGAAGCATCAGGAGCCTTCATGTGCATGAGTCACTCCAGCAACTGCTGTGAGTCAAATCTGTGATGTCAGTGGAACTCTTTGGCTGTGCCAGCACCTGGAAGGAGCAATTGGAGGYATTGCAGCATGGGAGAACCAATGCAGACCTTCTCTGATGTTAGCTAGGGAAGAAATGAGACTTTCAGAATAAGTAATGTAAGCTGAAACTTGCCTGTATGGTGACTGTATTTCAGGTGAGCCTCTTTGTGAATGAGTGGCTTCTGACAATGGACTGGATTGTAATACCAGAGCTACTTGGCAATCTAGGATTCTCTRAACTTAAAAGCCCCATATCTGAAAATATCCTCCGTGATCACCTGTAATGTGTTAGTTTAACTAAACTTTATTATTAGATTGTCAGCTACTGAGGGCAGTGCTGCTGTAGAGGAGAGTAAAAGACARTGAAGTGGAGGAACTTGCTGGAGGTGTGGTTGCTTCTGTTACAGATGKAAAAATAATGTGTGAACATGTTTTTGATTGTGTAATAACAACAACTGGCTTGAAACACTGAAATGAAATTTCCCTTCCAGGTGCTTTTGTGGTGCAGTTGCACTGCAGAATTTGTGGGTTGGTAGAATGGTAGTCCTTGCCCTGGACATGGGAACTGGTGATTATGACAGTTTCCAAGRCTTATGTCATGTTACTTGTTAAATGTGCTGGAAAAAGAACCTCTGGGGGTACAGTGAGTGGCACAGCAAGCTGAGCTACCTGCTCTGCAGTTATGTGCTTTTAGTACCTAATGTTTGTAGTCACTGGTTTGGACAAGTTGCTRTTGTTTCCAAGCTTTTGCTAGTTGTCAGGGTTGATTATTCACGATGGTGAAGGTGTTGCTTTTGCTGTATGTTTTTGCTGGAACTTAAGGCTGTCATAGCAGTCTTTCCAGACAACAAAAATAGAACATCTGGAAGCTATAGCCGGATTGTTTCAATATTACTTCTGTTTATCTCTTCCCGCTTCAGGATGACAACTGGGGTGAAACCACAACAGCAATCACAGGCACCTCTGAGCACAGTATTTCCCAGGAGGACATTGCCCGGATCAGTAAGGATCTGGAAGACAGCGTCGGGTTGGACTGCAAACGTTACCTGGGCTTAACAGTGGCAGCTGTTCTCGGACTCCTAGTCTTCCTTACCCCCATTGCCTTCATTCTGTTGCCCCAGATCCTGTGGCGAGATGATCTGGAGCCGTGTGGTACTGTCTGTGAGGGACTGTTCATCTCTGTGGCGTTTAAACTCCTCATTCTCCTGATTGGGACCTGGGCTCTTTTTTTCCGCCAGCCCAAGGCAGATCTCCCGAGGGTGTTTGTGTTTCGGGCCCTTCTGCTGGTCCTCATCTTCCTCTTTGTGTTTTCCTACTGGCTCTTTTACGGCGTTCGCATCTTGGACTCGAAGGACACCAACTACCAAGGGATYGTGCAGTACGCCGTGTCTCTGGTGGACGCCCTGCTCTTCATCCACTACCTGGCCATTGTGCTGCTGGAGCTGCGGCAGCTGCAGCCCATGTTCACTGTCAAGGTGGTTCGCTCCACAGATGGAGAGTCACGATATTACAGCTTGGGACACCTGAGGTAGGTACAAACCCTTGGAATTCTTGTTATTCTGGTGTTGATGAGTGTAGCTCTGCTGTGGCGTGAAGCATCAGCAGCTTCTGGGTGTGTGATGTTGCTGGTTCCCGAATCTTCCCCCAGAAGAATCCTAGAGTCCCTCCAAGGTTACCAAATTGAGCCTCTCTGCCCTCTGTCTGAGTGTGGGAGAGGCTGACCCTGCATTTCAGTAAATGAAAAAAGCTGGTGTCACAGCTTTGGRATGGTCATTGGGTGCTGCCTGATGAGAATTTTAAGATCCTTCTCTGGGCTTTGTGTCCTGTCTGCTTACTGCGGGAAAGTGGGGAGTCCTTCTTGTGTAGCTGTGTTTTGTTTGTAAGGGCCAGGTGCTGCTTTGAGAGCATGAGACTCCTGACAGCAGGGCAGAAGGCAGGGGCTGAAATTTTTTAGCRTGATGCTCTTTTTGCCATCAGTTTGCTGGGTTGGATGTGTCTGGGAGTGTCTGGGAGCTGTAGGTATGACACGTGTGCTGCTTCCACCTTCCTGCTGGCATTAGTGCTTCTGTCAGCAATGGTGCAAAAAAGGACAGGTGTCTGAATTGCCTTAGTTCCTGTATCCTGCGAAGCTCTCCAGAAATCCTTTAGTTCCTGTGTCCTGTGAAGTAGCAGCTGAGCTCTGGAGATGATTCCCCAGGCTGAATGTGCATTTAAACATCTGTTCAGTTTATCCTGTCCAGACCCCGATGGCATGTGTATCTGTGGCAGATGAAGAGATTAGCATCTGCTGGTTTAAGTGGATGTAGGAGCAGTCTCCTGCAGCCATTAGCTTAGCAATGGAATTGCTTTGAAGCAGATTTAGTGGTTGAAGCTCTCAAGTCCGGGAGTTTTCTCCTGGATGTTTTTTTCTGGCTTAATAGAAAAACTTGAGGCCTTTTGGGTGAACTAGGTCTGCTCTGTTTTCCTTCTCTGTAAAATGTGAAAGGGAAGGCCACTCTTCTGTAATGGAAGTACACTCATTGACTTAATTAAATGTGTCTTTCAGAATTAAAAAAAAAATGGACAAACATATGTTGGTTTTCTTGTGAAATCAATTTTTTTAAACTTAACTGCTCTGTGATCAATGATCCAGCACAGCCTATAAGAGGAGAGACATGGAAAGATGACTACCAAAGTTTCCCTGTGCTTCAGAATTGTGCCTTGAGGCATGATGTGACGAGGCAGTTCMATCCTGAGTGAATTCTGCAGAGGAAGTTCAATAAAAGTCTGTATTTACYCATATATACACACACAGCATGCAGATTTGCTTGGTGGTAGATGGTGGGTTTGTGTTCAGAGGAATTGAGATCCTACACCTGCCAAAGTCTGCATGTCTGACTTGCCATTMAGGAAAGGAATTTGCTTGACAATCAAGGCCTGAATATTTAATAGTGCATGTGTTAGTGTTTTCTCCAATTCTTTCTTTGCAGCAGAGTTTTGAAATGCCTTGGATGCTGCTAAGGCAGCAAAGAGTTGTAGAACCTAGGGTGAAAACTGAGATGTGTGAAAACTTGGAACTTCTCGTTTGTTGGCAAGCTGATTTCAGTTTTGTTGGGTACATTGAATCYAAGCCATGCAGCACATAAATGGCTTCAGTGTCTTGTGTTACAGAAATCTCATCAAGCGTGTCTGATGGTGCTAAACTAGTGTTGCTTTWTCCTTGGTTTGACAGATGAGTGTAAGGTGTATTGACATGTACTTTGAAGCTTGTGTGTCTGCATATTTACTGCTGCAAAGGTAAAACTGTAGGTTTGATCAAGGGCCAGGTRTCTCCCAGCTAAGGAAGAGTTTATCTTCTCTGTGTGTTACTTGTGTGTAAATGGTGAGAGCTGATCTTGATAAAGAGTGTGGCACAAATGTGGCGAACTGTGTAAAAAGTGAACCTTCTTCAGTTTCTAAGAGCTTAGGAATGTGAGATGTTTGTGAAACGTGAAAAAAAAGAACTTCTGATCATCTTCACAACATAGTTTTGCAGAGTTTTCATGAAGGTCTTGCCATGCTTGGTGGTAAAATGTAGGTTGGGGTCTCCAGGTGCTGTCTCCTGCCTCTAGCTGACTCTCTGGCTGAGGCATGGGGCTGCAGTGAGAGGTCTGTTGATGGGAAAATGTGAAGACATTTAAGGATAGTCTGGATTTCTGGAAGATGGGAGAAGTAGCCTTGTGGGTGTGCTGGAGAGGTGATTCTAACTATGATAAAATAGGCATGTACCACTTGCTGCTGCCTTTGGGCTCTTTGCCACCAGGCATGCTTGCCTCATCCCAGCACTTTCAGTGGAGTCTTGGAGAGGTTCTGAGCTGCCACCTGGAAGGAAGCAGCATGCTTTAACAGGTATAGCAATCTGACTGTCTCCTAAAATCAAAACATTTTTTCTCTTTATGCTCTCAAATATCTTACAARTTTTAATGACTGACAATCCATGGAGTCTGTCTTTCTCATCAGTCTAGTGTGCTCTGGAGAAGCTGGTGGTGAGAAGGGACTTGAGACACCTTGTTGTTCAGTGTTGCTTCTCAAAGTAGCTCTGATTTTTTTTTTTCTTCACAACAAAGTTGTCGGTATCATCCTTTATAACCCAAGATGGAAGCTTTCCAATTTTAGGTCTTTTCTGGTGAGGCAGAGCTGCTATGTAAGTAGGAGAACAACGTCTATTCTGGGGGAGAAGGGAAGAAAACAATAGYTCAGCCGCCCTTCTGGCAAACCATGTTTTTGCAAGGCAGAGTACAGACAGGATTTTCCACCCTCCTTGGCTCCAAATGCAGTAAAGAAGTTGAAAGTGCTGAGTTAGGTATTCCACTCCACCCCTGAGAGCCCTAGGTCCAGGAGGGTAGGCATATTTGGGAGTAGTTCCCCAAATTCATATTATAATCAGCCTATTAATAGAYGGGCTTGGTCCCACCCCCACCACTTTGGCTATAACTTTTCTTCTGGGAAACTTGACTGCCAAAATGAACGTTCCCTTTGGCATTGATTCAGGAGGGGGGAGGTAAAAAATTAAATAGGAGTCTTGATGAGTGTGGTGCCAAGTCTCGGCTCGCTGACTGCTCTGCTGCTCCTGGTAGCAAGGGCTGCCACTCAGGGCAAATGCTTTCTGGTTTTATGTATGGGTAAAGAGCAGGGAGCAGCAGGAAAGGTCAAGCCTGGGAAAATGCAGGAGGTTGGGTGGGAATGCTGGTGAGACTTTTGAAAGCAAYAGCAAAAGGAAACAGAGGTGAGGGAGCACAAGAGTAGGTAACTTCATTTGAAAGGCTGATACTTTTGTGAGTGGAGGCTTGGATTTGCAGCTGAGGCTTTAGTTTGTCCCTAGAGATGGGGATGCTGATATCACCTGTCATCCACAGTTCAGCACTGTCTGTATGGCTCAGAAACTGTAGAAAGGATCTTGCTGGAAAAACCCCTCCTCTTCTGCATGTAGGGTGCTAACCATTCTGTCTTCCTATCCAGTGAATGCTCTTTCCCATCCTAGAGCTTTGCTAGTCTAGACAGCTCAAGGAAATGAATGGCTTGTGTGGTAATTACTGATCTTTCTCATAGACTGCATGTTGGGCTGCAGTATAGTTAGTCTTGGTTTTCTGAGGTTAGAAATGTCTGAAAGTGGGTCCTTCTCTCTTTTGCTCCTCCTTGCAGCAGGTGTATGAGGAGCAGGGCTGTGATAGTTCATGTTATGTTGGGCTGTTTAAATTAGTAGGAGTTTCAGTYTTTTCTGTCATGGTTTRTCCCCAGCTGGCAAGTAAATACCACACAGCCCCTCACTCACTCCTCCCCACCTCCATCTGTAGGATGGGGATGAGAATCAGAAAAAAAGGTAAAATCTGTGGGTTGAGATAAKAACARTTTAATATTTTAAATARTGTAAAATAGAATACTAATTACAATAACAGCAATAATAGTAATTGTAATCAAGAGGTGAGAGAGAGGGAAATAAAACCCAAGGAAGGCAAGTGATGCTCAATACAGCTGCTCTCCACCCACTGATGTTCTCAAGCAGTGATTGGTGGCTCCTGGCCAGCTGTCCTCAGTTAATACACTGAGCATGATGTTCTGTGATATGGAATATCCCTTTGGCCAATTTGGGTCAGCTGTCCTGGCTGTGCTCCCTCCCAGCTTCTTGTGCAACTCCTCAGTGAATGGCAGAGCATGGGAAACAGAAAAGAGCTTGACTTAGGGTAAGCAGTACTTAGCAACAACTCAAACATCAGTGTACTAGGGAGAAAAGTAATACAATCCCAAAAAAAATCAGGACATTGTCCTTTCTGACAAGGGCTTGCCTTTGTGAACCTGCTGCTGGGGAAGCCTGTAAACACCTTTGGAATCAGGGTTCAAGCTTTGCAGATGGCTGTGAGCTGGTCAGTGTTTTCCTGTCAATCTAATCAAGAGAAGCTTGGTACTCCAAAATAGCAGCTCTGTATGGTAAAAGTGTGCTTGAACATTCCCTCTGTTACCCATCAGCATTTGCATGGATGTTTGCTGAACTGTGGTTTAAAAATTCAGGAAGGAAACAGCTGCTTCATCAAAACAGGTACCTGTCTCTGAAAAACCTGTACCGTCACTACAGAAATTTTCAATACCCTGTTGAGAAAACTGGTGGCTTGCACACACTCACAAAAGAAAGTAGATACATATGTGTTCTGTGGAAAGGGAACACATTCAGCCTGTCTCCCAGCTGCTTTGGGTATTTGTTGTACCTGTTATTTATAAAGCTGATCTCTGGGTTTTCAGTATTCACTGATTAATCGGATGAGTCCTCTCTTGTCAGGCATCCCTTAGTGCTGCTGGTACTTGGTTCATTACTGAGGGAGTGTGTGGAGGGCTAAGGAGTGGGAATGGATTCTCCATATTCCAGCCTGCATTTGTAAGCCTTGACATCAGATCTTGTTGCTCGAATTTACCTCCCTGTATSAAGGGTGAATTTTTTCTAATGGAGGCCACGAGGTCAGCATTTGAACTGTACAGAGTGCTCTTGCCTGGAGTTGTGTCAACACTTATGCTGTTCTA